GCACTTTCCCAGTATGGAAGTTCTAATGGTGGGCCGATTTCTGGGTGGGATTGCCACCAGCATATTGTACTCGGCGTTCGAGAGTTGGATGGTCTACGAGCATAATAAGGTGATAGAGAATCAGTTGATCAGAATATCCAATTTAAGATTCTCGTCTTTTTCAGTGGGGTTTTCCTGAAAACCTCTTGGGTACGGTATTCTCCCATGCTGCACTGGGAAACTCGCTAGTTGCCATTCTGTCAGGTGTAGCTGCCCAGTTTGCAGCCGATGCCTTTGGATACGTGTGAGTTCCTTTCTGAGATCTTTCCTATTCCTATTTTCCTACTTTTCCTATTCCTATTTCCTACTTCAGAGCACTCTCCTGATCAAATAATGATGCTCCCAGTTTTCAGGGCTCCATTCGACTTGTCGCTGATAGTACTGATAGTAATGTGCGTATTCATAAGTCAGACATGGCCCGAAAACTATGGTGACGAGAAAGCTCCCCTACGAGAGACATTTATCAAGGCACTTCTCACTATAAAGACAGGTACAATGTTGAAATAAAGTACTCAATTCCGAGGAAAATGGTCCAGATGTATTCCCTGCCTTAGCTACTCCTTGAAGTTAGAGGAGCTCTTCCGATGATGCTCTTTGTGCTGTTTTCTTGCCCGTGGCCCGACTTCTGGCTAGGCGTTTGACCAGCTAACTACTCGATGTTGTAGATGTTAACGTTCTCTGCTTGGGACTGGTTCAATCGTTGTTTGAAGGTTCCATGTACACATTCGTTCTAGAATGGACTCCAGCTCTTTCTCAGGTGCTGTTCAACAACTGACTGTACCTACGCTCACCAAAACAGATGGCTGAAATCAAGGTTTCAGGCTACATTTGCTCCTATTCCACATGGCTATATCTTCGCTAGTTTCATGGTGGCCACCATGATGGGATCTTCATTCTTCAAACTTCTCTCAAAGAAAATTCGTCCTGAAAGCTTTATGCGGTTAGTCGATCTTCATCATTTCCGAAGGTACAAAGGTTCAGCCTTGGTCTCAATTTGATTCTTACCGATTAACACAATTGAAAAACTTTATCACCATCACAAACGTTTCGTCGCGAACTACCTGCAGATCAGAGAGCTCCGGTTCTAGAGGGCATTTTTTATAGAATGCTCAGCAAATTCAAGCTTTCACATCCCAAATCAGCTGAAATTAGTTAATAGTACCGTTAATCTCGGTTTCAGACTTGTCTGAGAGGGTGATTCGTATCGCCATACTAATATCCGCGAATGGACTAAAAAAATCCACCTCCGACCATGAACCCGATATGTGTGTGTGGTCCTTGTGGAGAGAAAGCGCCAGTACCCCGCGACTTCTTTTCCCGCAATGACCGACAGCCTTCAATGTGGTAATGGCAAGAGTTTTTACGCCTCCTTCCCTATTTTTGGAATGGTTCACAACTGAGGCGGCTTTCACGACTTCCAAGTCCAACGTCGTGGAGTCATTCGAAATTTTGGATTTGGCCTTTACAGTGGCTAGCGGGACCAACCGACATACAGTAGCGCTCAAAAGTCTTCGGTGAAATGGTTCTTTAGCTGCACTTTTCAGTCCTAACTCCTTTCCTACTGGATCTAATCAAGCGAAATTTCAACATTGGTAGCAATGGTGTAGTGTGAATATTTACCACTATTAACCTGAATTTTAATTATGTTCCGAATATCCCAAAGAGCTTGAAATCAAAAACAACTGGAAATAGGGACACTGGCGCCTCTAGGATTTCTTTCCTTTTGTGCCATGTCCAAAGTGTACGAGTGGTAATGCGGAACAGAGAAGAGCAGACGTCACAAACTTGCTTTCAGCATAGTCTACAAACGCCTTCCACTTAGTTATGTGGACATTGCTGCTTTGCAGTCAAATAGNGTTGGATAGTGTGAAATATGCTTCAGTTAAACATATCAAAATTTCATGCAATTTGCTCCACTGGGAAAAAAGTTACGGCAAGTTAAAGTTGGCCGAATACTTTGGAGCGCTACTGCATGTGTCAGCGGCCTAACCCTTGTAAGCGAATCTGTCACAATTTTGTGAAAATAGAAGTACCGGCCTAGGTGGGTGGGTACCTAACAGGGCTAATTGTACGTCAGGAAGCGATGCTTCTGGGAGTCATCAAATCCAGTCTCATCGATTGTAACGACAGAAATACCTCAGTAATAATCCGGTAAGGGAGGCGATGGAATTTGAGGCTCAAGTTAAGTGATTACGAAGAGCTCCAAAAATGGGGTGATCAAAAAGGACCTCGCCGACATCAAAGTAATGGCAGAAGAAGCCGCAGATAGAAGGAATTACAGCACGCTGACAAGAACAGCGGACCCTGCGACGGCGTGGGATTGTTTGGCTGTGAACGCACTCAAGCAGAATGGTTCCAGTTTCATTAGAGTAGGGATTACTACTGTTTCTTCCCTTGCCTACCCATCTTTCAGCCTCAAATTCCGACTACTTTCGAGCGACTGAAATTGTTGATATACACGAAGAAATGTCTGGCAGCGAAATTTTTGGTAATAAGTTCTGTTACAGCTATGTTCTACTGGTGTCCGCAGCTTGTCTGGGTGTTCCTGTTGTCGTGCCAAACAGTGCAACATTCATCTTCTTGGCATTCCTCGTTTTTGAAGTGAGTCTTTCAAGCAGTCAACTAATGCATCTTATTGGTCCGCTATATCCAAGCAAGGCGTATACTGCTAAGAACCTTCATAGAAGAAAAAGATCAAATCATCTTTTTTATTTGAGTTATACTGCAAAGTGCTTTCCTGCTGCCCAGTATAGGTTATTTGGGCCGTTTCACCCGTCCATGGAACTTCCTAACCAACTTTATGAGCAGTCCTTGCTGCAGCGGTTTGATTTAGACCCTTTTTTTGTATTATTGTGTTGTTGTTTTCGCCGATCCTGAGCGTGGGCTGCTGGGCTTCTTCACAGCCATCTAGAATCTCTATTTGCCATGAGAACAACGCCGTGAAATACATCCAGCAACGGCCCTCTATGCACTTACCACAGCGCGAAATGGTACACTGTAACAACTGATTTTACTCCTTTCCTTTCCAGATGAGCGGAGCAAGCGGAAGCTATGAGGATAAGTACGAAATCGTTCATATTAGTTATACTGGGAATAGCCTGACACTGAAAATAACCGGGCCAACTGGAGGAGGCATCTAAGTTGTGTCTAAAGTGATAGCGCTCTCGCGATTAGCAGAATTGGACTTTAGGGGGGTAGAGAATAAAGTCTTTCAGTCGTTCAGCTGTCTGTTTATAGAACCTTCTACCCTCCCAAAAGAGTTTGGCATTTTGGTTCCCGGAGGTATGGTGGGCTAGTTTTATGTGCGCGAATTCGATCCTAAGGCCATTCGTGTGATAGTCCGCGCTATTTGCCACTACACTGAATCTTTGACTTTGAAGGTGATTGTGTTCTTTGTGAATATTCTTCCCTCAGACGGACCTAAGAATAAAAGTTGTTGAACCTCGATGGGAACGTTTTGACATATTTGCTTGGAGCAACTCATTCGACGGATGTGCCCAATGGGTTAAGTCAGTACTTATTTTGTTTGCAGGTTTGTGTAGGGATTTTCTGGCCAGCAATGGGCTATCTACGAGGCATTTATGTACCGGAGGAGACCCGTTCGACAACGATCAATCTGTTCAGAGTCCCACTCAATATGATTGTGATTTTCATATTATGGCAGGTGAGCAAGCATTGCTAGACAATGGGTGACGAGAGTGAATCGCTAATGGAGCTCGCGGCGTAGTTGGCATAACGAATTCTCATTTCATGTTTGCTCTGAATTGTTTGCCATCAGAAATTGATTATCGAAAACCGTCAGTCATCCCCGGGGATGGCAATTTGGCGCAGATGGGAATACCGCAACATAGAATCTCTCACCTGGAAACACAAAAAATCATGATTTTTTGTTTTATCACGCCCATTACTCCCCCTTCCCCCCACCCTCCCGCCGCAGAACGACTTTTGTCTGTAACTGTAATTTGCCCGAAAGTGCTCACCATCTAAGACTGCAACTCTGGACGGAGGAGCACGGCAGAAATGGGTGAAGGTGATGGGATGAGACGTGAGAAAAAGTGAGAATAAGATGAAAAAAGGCCTAATGATCTGGAGAAATTGATTTTAGTTCCCTCAGCCAGTTCTGGGTGGCCTTAACCGTTCCAAGGATTTTTCTATTCAATAAATAGTCTTTTCGAAGTAAAAAGGTGTGAGAGTGAGTACACTGGTATTACTCTAAATGGTTGATCTGTGGTATAGCTATGATGTTCTTTACGAATATTTCAATATTTCAGAACTTTTCGATGACGGCGATTTTCCAATTTTGTGTGCTGTTCCTGTTGCTTGCTGCGATGGCGCAGCATGTGCTATTCAGGTTGGTATCCTTCGGAGGCTTCAAAGACCATTCCAGTAAGCTGCATTCGGAATGACAACTGAACGCTGAACAAATACAGTCTTTTACATCTCTGCATCACACTTTCTTCTGTCTGAACACATGAATAATTACTGTTTTCNTGTTCCTGTTGCTTGCTGCGATGGCGCAGCATGTGCTATTCAGGTTGGTATCCTTCGGAGGCTTCAAAGATCATTCCAGTAAGCTGCACTCGGAATGACAACTGAACGCTGAACAAATACAGTCCTTTACATCTCTGCATCACACTTTCTTCTGTCTGAACACATGAATAATTACTGTTTTCATATACCCAATGAAGAACAGAAGTCGATTTTCCAAGTTTTCGTGGCTTCTCTGGAGGCGAAAAAGGAATTTGCCACGAGTCTTATTTTATTGTAGTGTGATTTTTGAGCTTTTATTGTGGGTGATCCTCTTGTTATGAGGCTTTGTTACCGTAAAAGTCAATTGTCCCCTTTTCTAATTTGACCCAAAAAAGGTGCTGTAGAAAGACCGTAGTGTAGGAGGCATACCGTGTTGCTAATCGACGGAAGCGCTATTGCATCACAAGGAGAGGCATCAAGGTAACCTCTCTTTTCAGGTGAACAACCAACTTATTGTTCCTAGATTAGCGACCTAGTTAAGTTGGAGAGTTGACGCGAAGCTGTAGATTTGCTACGATAGGCCTTCCAGCAATGGCCCAACAGCACCTCTGCGTTTCTGTCCAGCAACCACACGCTGGGCTTTACCACTCCTTCGAAGGCAAAGTGGTGTTCAGCAATTTGGCCAGATGATATGCTGATACTGTACTGATACATGTATCAGTAATTACGACCTTGGCCATGGCAGCATGGCTTCCAAGTTCGATCACCTGGGAAGGGTATGCAGAACACATTAATTATGCTACCTTACCAATAGGTTTACTATGGTAGAACCGCTCTATTCGGTCAACGTTTNAACCAACTTATTGTTCCTAGATTAGCGAGCTAGTTATGTTGAAGAGTTGACGCGAAGCTGTAGATTTGCTACGATAGGCCTTCCAGCAATGGCCCAACAGCACCTCTGCGTTTCTGTCCAGCAACCACACGCTGGGCTTTACCACTCCTTCGAAGGCAAAGTGGTGTTGAGCAATTTTGCCAGATGATATGATGATACTGTAGGTACTCATATGCTATGTAAGTCTTTCTGTCAGGTCCACGGCCTGTAATGCAGCGATAGCAGTGAGGAGTGAATGAAAATCCATTCTGCGTAGTGAGCTTGCCTCTTATCCTGCAACCGGGCAACATGTATCAGTAATTACGACCTTGGCCATGGCAGCATGGCTTCCAAGTTCGATCACCTGGGAAGGGTATGCAGAACACATTAATTATGCTGCCTTACCAATAGGTTTACTATGGTAGAACCGCTCTATTCGGTCAACGTTTCGAAGTTATCTCCTGATCAAGGATTTGAAAGAAGTTTGAGCTTTCTGGATTG